CTCCCTCCTTTACTCCCTCCCTCCCCCCCTCCCTCCCTCAGAAAGAGTAACTGACTTTTAAACAGTGCTGCACAGGGCTGTGTCCACACCTACAATCTCTTTGTAAACAGTTTACGAAAGTGCTCTGTCAGCATCACCTTCAGTAGCCCAAGTGATTCGGTTGTGTACTTAGGTCCGCCCCCCGCTGCCAGATCCTGAAATGGTTTCCAGTGCCTGGTCCTCTCAGGAGCCCAAGTGTCACAGCTGTAGATGTGGTGGAGGTGGTGATTTCAGGGTGACACGGCCCAGGGCTCCCCGCAGGGATGGTGGTACAGGAACTGCGTGCGGGAGTGAAAAGCAGCAGCGCAGCTGACGTCGGGGCAAAGTAAAAATAAATGGTTTCTGAGAAATGAACGTATTCCTGGGGCGAGAAAGTGCAGAGCAGACGGGTTTGAATCTGGGCCATGGGCTCAGGGCCATTTCAAGGTTGTAGGAGGGTTTCCTACCGGGAAGGTGGCAGGTGCCGGGCCGAGGAACGCCAAGATAATGAGAGTGGCTCTCAGGTGAGGAGCCTGACAGCCGGCACCGCCTGGCCCTGGCCCTGCGGCCTCACTCAGATGGGCACTCGGGGCGGCAGGCGCTCTGTCCCCAGAGAGAGGAAGGGAAGACAGGCTTGTCCAGTCACAGGATGGGCTCCGGGAGGCAGGAGCCGGGCTCCCAGCTCAGGGGCTCTGATTTCCATATGCGAGCAGCACCTGTCTCCCCGGGTGAGAGCCTGCAGCAGGCCCGGGACTGGGAGGGTGGGGCTGGCTCCTGCCAGGCACAGAGGCAGGTGGGGCTGCAGTGATGGGCTGCAGAGGGAAGGTGGGCAGGTGTCTGGAAGGAGAGCAAGTGCTGGATGGGCCCAGCCCCAGCTCGGCCCTGCACCCCTGTCCTTAGCTATTCTCTGAGGGCAGGGTTTGGGGACCGGCCTCCCCAGCCCTGATGCTCGGTGACGCCGACTCACTGTGCTTGTCCTGCAGGAACAGAAGCGGATCTTGGAGATGGGCATCACCGGGCCCGAGGGCCACGTGCTGAGCAGGCCCGAGGAGGTAAAGGCGCCTTGCACTGGGCAGGACTCTGACGCTGCTGAGCTTACCCCATGCCCTTCCAGCTGGAACAGCCCCACCAGCCCCCGCCCCTGCCATGCCCCCTGCACCCCTGCACGAGCACCCGGCACGCCTGGCCCTCCGGGGTCTGCCCTCTGATCGGGAGCCGTGGGGGCTGCAGGCCAACCAAGGAGCAGGGAGAGGCGCTGCCCAGAGCCCAGGGAGCCAGACGCTCACACCAGGCCCCGTGGGCAGCCCAGTGCCCAGTCCCCAGTGCAGGACCTGGCAGATCTGATGACAGGGAAGTGCAGCCACGTGTTCCAGGCCTCGTGCCTATGACGTGGTTCCCACTGTGTTCCCAAGACTCAGAAAGGATGAGTTCCCTGGACTGGCAGAGTGTGTGTGCGTGTGTGCCTGTGTGTGCGCATAGGAGCAGGCATGTGTGCGGGTGCTTATGTGTGTGTGTGTGCATGTGTGTGTGCATAGGAGCAGGCATGTGTGCGGGTGCTTATGTGTGCATGGGTGTACATGCGTGATCACGTGTATGCATGTGCACATGAGCACGTGCGCACATGTGTGAGAACACAGTGGGTGCACATATGTGTACATGCGTGTATGCATGTGCACACGAGCATGTGTGCATATGTGAGAGAACACAATGTGGGTGTGTGCATGTGTGAGCATGTGTGTGTGCATATGAGCATGTGTGTGAGCACATGTGTGAGAGCACAGTCTGTGTGTATGTGTGGGGACAGAGGAAGGCAAGCAGGGCGCCCTGGAAGCCTTCGAGCTGCGTATGTTCCCTGTGTCCTCATCACTGCATACCCATCCTCCCAGATTTCTGCTCTGGGCCTTGCCCAGGCCAGACCCCTGGGGCCACAGCACAGTAGACAGGCTCCTCCCCCGGAGCCCTGCCCCTGCCCAGGCCCGCCAGCTGTTTGCTCCTGGGCCCTGGTGAGGTAGGACAGACCCATAGACTCTGTTCCTTTCATATCACGTGGTCACCGCCAGGGCTGCATGCCAGCCACGGCAGCAGGACCCCGTTTGGGGCATCACAGACTGGAAACTAAAAACAAAACTATAGGAAACAGCTGGACCTTTTGTTCAAGAAGCCCTGGGCTCAGGGGCAGAGACCAGAGCCACCACAGGCAGTCACCTGGCAAGGAAAAGGAGGGGAGGGGGGGAGGGGAGGGGAAGAAGGCAGGCATGGTGGACGCCGGGGGTCACCGTGTCAGGCGTTTTATAAACGACGGACCATTTTATGGCCTTTTGATGCCCTGCTCTGCCCAGCGTATCCCCTCCCAGCAGAACATGCAGCGTAGAAACGTAATCCTGCCTTCTAACCCTCCACCCAAATGCATTTGGACTTCATGTTCCCTCCCTCCATCCCTCCCTCCCTTCCTTTCTTTCTTTCCTCACCCCAGGATATGCTTTTCATTGATTCTAGAGAGTGGAAGGGACAGGGAGAGAGAGGGGGAGAGAGATAATCTGTTGCCTCCCTTACACACTTGGATGGGTTTTAAGCCTACAACCTGGGCATGTGCCCTGACGGGACTCAAACCTGTGACCCTTCGCGCACGGATGGCCCTCAGACCCTCGGAGCCGCCGGCCAGGGCTCTTTCCTATCATACATCTACACAGTTTCCTCCTTTGAGGCGGTAGGTTTCCTCCAGCCACACTCGAGGAAGGTCGGAGGACTAGTTCAGGGAGAGCCTGGGACCTCTGGGAGGGGGTGGCTGCCCTCGCCCCTCCCTCCTGTGACCTCGGATTTGCTGTCGCCAGCTGGAGGCCGAGGCCGTGTTCCGGGCCATCACCATCGCCGGCCGGATCAACTGCCCCGTGTACATCACCAAGGTGATGAGCAAGAGTGCGGCCGACATCATCGCCCTGGCCAGGAAGAGAGGTGCGCCTGTGCCGGCCTCCGCGGCGGCTCTGACCAAGGCAGGGGGTGGCCGGCGGGTTCAAGGTCACTGACTCTGCCCGGCCAGGAGCCTGGGCCCCCCGGGACCCCGCACACTGGGAGAGGGAGATGGGATGGTGGCAGGTCACAGACACGAGGCAGGTTTTAGGCGATTCCTGGGTGCCGTGGGCCCTGTGTGACCCTGGGTGAGGGCGTCTGAGCCTCAGGGAGTCTGGGGTGATCCTCAAGGTGCTGTTGGGTTTGTCTCTCATGCGAAGACTGTCCCGGCCCCTCCCTGGAAGGTGGGGGGGCCCCATGCTCTGAGCCCAGGTGCCCACGGCTGTGACTCGGTGATGACTCACCTTCTCGTGGCTGCTTTGCCCCCGGCGTCCTGTGCTCAGTCCCCAGCCAGGGTCTCGGCATCACCTCCCAGGTGTGACGCTCCTCCTCGGGCATCTGCTGCTGGCAGGTCCCTAACGGGGCCGCCGGTCAGGCTCGGCCTCGGAGGACCAGCCCCCACCAGGAGAGGGCAGTCCTGCCCGAGCACTGAGCTCGGATGGCGGGCAGCGGGGGTCCAGCCGGGGCAGGCGCAGGGGGAAGCCTTTGCGGGTTTATTTCTCCAGCCTGAGCTCCTCCGTGTTTTTGCGACCATATCCACACGGAGGCCACTCGCTCTTA